TGCGCAACTGATCAAAGACGCAGCGGGGCACAGTCCCCGGAGAGAGCGCGCGTTGTTGCGGCTCCAGTAGTCTCTCCTTGCATCGTCGTACCCGTTGTCGCCGCATTCGCAAGGCACGGTAGGTACGATGTCTGGTCGCAAGCAAGCACGGGAAGCGGCAAACTTTGATCGGCGGCGGTGCAAAGGCGGGCGGCTGCGGCGGAGGGCGGAAGTTAACAAACACCCGGGATCACACCCACGCGCAAGCAAGGCAAGGTGTGATCTCCAGCTGTCAGCGCCCTCGATGGACGTCTTTGCCGAGACCTTTTCGAGTCCGGCAGAGGCACAGCCAGCCAGGCAGGGTCCTCGTCGACATCGTCGAAATGCACGGACGGACGTGCGCACGGCAGTCATGGTGCCTCTGACCAGCGATCGCGACGATCCGAAGTGCATATGCAGTCGGCTGGGATGGTCGCGCCGCCGTACACAGCTACAGATACTTAGCTAGTATGTACTTAGCACTTGCTCTACCGAGCGGTAAGGAGCCTCTCAGACCGGCAGCGGCCAACTCGCTCGCGAGCAAGTAGCAGAGCCATGTATCTGTACAGCAGGTCCGAAGAAGAAAAAAGTTCCCGGTGGCGAGCGAAGCAAGCAAGCTAAGCTTAGCTTGCCTGCGCAGCTTCGCCCTTGCCTCTCTTCTGATCAAGAACAAACAGACAGGGGCGCAGTCTGGGTCTCGTCGGTTACAAATGCGCCCGTCCTGTATGTAGGTGCAGGCGGCTTCCTAGCGTATCTATGTGGCCGATTGCGCTTTGATTTGGCGATGCAGCGAGGGCTGCAGGTAGGCAGGCAAGCGGGACTCGCCGCCCATCGCAGACGTACAGCGTGATCTCTGCCTGTCGCCGCTTTGCCTTGCCGTTTCTTTTCACACACCACTTTGCCCGGACTTGCTCGCGCGACCTTGATTGACCATCCAGACGTACCGTATCTGTCCCCATGACTGTCGATCATTCAGCATCAAGGCCGGCCGCACGGTAGCGCCACAGAAGGATCGATGCAGGGCAAAGGCCGCGGTCGTCAACGTCGTGGGATGGGCAGCTCCGGCCGTGATACCGCCAGGCCATGTCGTCCAGGGACAGACGAACAAGGCAGGCCTGAGGGCGAGCAGGGCGTACGTCGGCGGACCATACGCCGGCGCCGTCGCTTCGTCTGTCTGTCTGTTCCGCTCGTCACATGCATGACGGACTGTGACATCTCGCCCTAGCCCCGCCTGGATGCAGCAGCATGGACGAGGCGCAGGCAGTTGCGTGTAGAAAGCTGTAGTGTAGACCCGGTTGTACGCTGTCGTCGCGAGCATCTTCGCTTTGTTTGTGACGACAACAGCAGGCCAGGCCAGACGACGTTGTACACGTTCATGCCTCGGCCGCGGAGTATTTCCTTGGACGCAACCCCCTCTGCCTCGTCCAGCGGTTGCGAGGGGTACCCACGGTGGAGCGTCAAGCTGTCAAGGAGACGACATCGTACCGCTCCGTAAAGCGGCCGCTGCGCACGGCGGGCGGGCGGCTAGACTGGGCTGTGTCAAACGAACGTACATGTATGTACGGTGATCAAGCGAAGCCAAGGGCGCCCGTCGTTCGATCTGTGCGGAGCCGCACCGCACGCGAGAAGATCGGGATGGACGCCCTACTTACCCTGCTGCTTGGCTTGCTTCGCTGCCTGCGTGCCAGGCCAGCCTTCTCGCCGCGTGGCCTGCAAGAAGGTATGAACGCCCGGACCAGCAAGCAAGCTGCCCGCGATAAAGTCACAGATCGTACCGCTGCAGCTCGCAGAACCGGAAGAGCCACGTGGCGTCGCCTTGAGCAGGCACGTACGGTTGGCCTTTGCCTGCCTGGCCTCGCCATGGCCACGGCCAGTCGGAGCCCAGTGACTACCGCAAAGGTGCTGTAGGGACGAGACAGGCTGGGCTGAGTCCGCCTTGGTTTCTTTTCCGCTTTCGCCATGTCAACTGCCTTGCTTGCTTGCCTCGTGTCCCTTTGCCTTGGCCTTGGGCCGATGTGGGAATCGGTAGAGGTGCAGCCAAAGGCTCGACCTCATCGGGCGGGCCAACGAACGAAGGTGCGAGCTGCATGCAACCTTGACACCGCAGCGCTTTTGGCTGCACGGACGCGGGCAAAAGCTCATACATCTTGAGGGAGCGGGGGCGACAAAGAGTAGTGACGAGGCGGGAAGCCGCACGGACTGACACGCGAGGCGAGGACGTACCGCTGGTTTGGGATCTTATCGTGCGCAGCACGCAGCCGTACATCTGATCTCCTTGCTTGCGCCGTCGCCCGCCCGTCTGCCCGCTCGCTCGCCGTCTTTGGACCTCCGACACTCCCGTGCCTTGGTCCGTACACGTACCTGCTTCAATATGGACCGGCATGGCCTGTCAGACGCCCGAGCAGGGTAAAAAGGAAAGGCAAGGCACGAACGCTTCGTTCAATGGCAGCGGGCTGAGCTGCATGGGTAAGCTCCCTGGGCGCGTGCGCGCGTGCTTCGCGTCCGTGCGTGAGGGTACCGGTGCACGGGGACAGGGTGTCGCCACCATCGCTGCTGGCTTCGGGGCCTCGACGACGGCGAGAGGCGGCATCGTGGGATCTGCAAAGGCGAACGGCAAGGCGCGAAGCCCGGCTTCCCGGACCTCGGTGTGGTCTCGTCGTTATGGGAACATCTTGGTCCTGCCGGGACTGTATGTATGTATGTATGTATGTGAGCGGGCTGCGCCACAACTGGACGAGCAACACCAGCGAGCGTGTCCGTGGTGTGCCATTGCGGCCACCGGGCCACCGCCGTGCGCTACATGGCCACCGTTGCGCCGGGCAAGGGCTTCACTGGAGGCCAGTCGCCCCAGCGTCGCTCCCGCAGCACACCGACGTGGCGTGTGCCTTCGTGTTCGACGATTGGGTGTATGCTTGCTGTCGTTGAGAGAGCAAGCGGGCAACGATGGAAAACCTGTCGCTTTCCGTCTCCCCTTCATTCCGATCTGGCGGACCGTGTACGTACGACGCCGTCGTGGTGTGTGGTCACCAGACAGTAGGAGCGTTTCCGGCGTCGGCGTCCGATACTTGCAGCATACCTGGCTGTGCAACGATCAATAATCGGACGAAGCAATGGTGGGCGCGCGATAAGGACTTCCTTGGCGTCAGCACGGAAAACGACGGCGAATATTGCGGCGAAATCCAGCCGTCCCCGGCGGATGCCCGCTCGATCGAGATTGGCTGAGAGCGCCTCACGCACAGCCCTGCCCGGACAGACCAGCGCGAGGCGATGGGCGACGGTCCGACGTGACGAACGGACGGGTTGGTCCTGCGAGGCCCAGAGGTCAAGGCCGTTTTCCTGAGCGCGTCGCCTGCTCCTGTGTTGGCACGGCTAGAAGAGCCTTGCGAGGCTCTCAGCTCAACCAAGGACCACCCAGGTCGTACCAAGGCGACGACAGAGTCCCGAGTCGATGGACAGGTCGTTAGCATCTCGAGAGGGCGTCACGCGGGCAAGCGGGGTAGTTAGTCGCTGCCTCAAACCTCGTCGAGACCCGACGAAAGGCAGCTCAGCGTCCTGGCGCTAAGGTTCTTCGAGCGCGGGGCACGCAGCGCACGCCGTCCAAAGCAGGGCGAGGCCTGGATGATGATGGCAAGGACAGGGCGTCGGGGTGATCCGAAGGAACGGCCTCGTGCGGCCTGAGCGTTTGCGAGGTCGGCCAAATCGGGCCGAGCCGCGACATATCGACTGCGTGCGTGTCTACCATGGTGCACGCTGCCCTGCTGGACGGGCCTCATTGGATTGGATCAGCTGCCCACCATGTGGGCCTGTCCGTGGTGCGCCTACTATCGCTCCCTGGCCGTCGCAACCTTGAAGCGGGGTGAAGCGCACAGCCTGGTGGCGAAGCAGCGTCCGTACCTGGTCGACGGCCGTCCAAAGGTCAGACAGTCGCGCAACGTCGCTGCAGCATGCCGAAAAGGCCCAGCCTGGTCCGGGCTAGGGGTGCATCGCGCATGGCGTTTGGGCTCAGCTGGCCCAATGGGCTGGACCTGGGCCCTCACTCTGGGCCCGACGACGGGCGCGCGTGCGTAGAAGCATTCCACGGCCCGGCATTGTAGGTGTCGTCGAGCGCGGTTGTGGCGGCGATGGGTCGGGTCTGGCGCGGCGGGCAAGGAGGCAGGCCTGGCCAGGCCAGGCCAGGCGGGGCCAGACCGGGCGCCAAAGGCCTAAGCCGGTCCCTACTTGCCGGCCCATCCCACGATGTCGGAACATCCGCCCGGCGGTCGAGGCGCAGCGCAAGGCATCCGCACGACATGGACAGGCCCCCTCGATCGGGCTAGGCCTGGACCTGGCGTCGGGATGGTGCCGGCAACGATGTCGGGACCGACCGAGACACAGGCGAAGGATGAAGCGGTGGCGAGCCAGGTGAGGCGGCAAGGCCCGCCTCCACCCTTTTCCCTCTGGATTTTGAGCGGCCTTTTGCTCTCTGCCTGCGTGTCGCTGGCCTGGCCTGGCCTGGCCTGCCTTGGGCTGCCCGTTGCTCCGCAAGACGAGGCCAAGGGCGCGGGGGTCCAGACCCTCCCTCCGCTCGGTCCACCATCACCGCAAACTTGGCCGAACGCCGCCGCCGCCTTCGTTTGGCACCGTCGTCAAGACCACCCCGCCCCTCGACACGGATTCGGTCACTGGGCGAGCTGAGATCTGGCACGGCCGTGTGTGGCGGTCAGACCAGGTCATCGTTCCTTGCAGCAGCCGCAGCAGCAACTGTATCGGCATCTGCTCCCGCCACAGGTCTTGGAGCACTCCCTTCGCCCAAGCTTCAAGAGCAGGCACCTCGTTCCAGCGTATCTCTCGAACAGATCCCTAACGCCACCATCATTCGAGACGCCCGCCAGATTGTCGCTTCCCCGATCTGCCCCCGTCCACTCTCTTGCCCTCGCACACACGGCGCCTCACCCGTAGCACTTCAATCGATGGCCAACGAAGCGGTCAAGCGTGACGCCAAGATGCCCGGCGGCTTCCTCGCAAGCCTCCTCGGCAGGTCATCGTCGTCGTCCAAGGCGCCGCCTGCACCTGCCACTGCACCAGTCAGCGTCGCCGCCGATGCTCCCGCTGCCGAAGCTCCCAAGAACAAGCTCAAGAGCGCCCTCGCATCTCCGTCCAAGCATGCTGTGGACGACGCACCGAGGGTCCTGACCGGACCCGCCAACACCTCTCGTCGCCTAGCCGACACGGCCCAGCCGCTCCAAGCCGACAGCGGAGGTGCTGCCGGTCCAAAGGCGAGGAGGGCCTGGTACGCGTTCGACAAAGCCGCCACACCGCCTCTGGAGCGTTCAGCGTCAGACGACCGTCCCGACCAGCAGCTGCAGATCTGGCCGTCCAAGTCCAAGGCCCGGGTGGACGTGGTCAAGGACAAGCAAGCCAGCAGATCGCTGCCGTTCCGGCACAAGCGCCATGTCTCGTTCTCCGTCCCGGAAGCTCCAGCAAAGCCCGATATCCGACGCCACCAGCGAACCCCCTCTGGCACCGACCTGGACCGGCGGCGCGACGAGAGACCGCTGCATCTCTCTAGCCACCGCCAGTCGACGTCCCTGCGCCAGATGCAGCCATTCGAGCATGGCGAGCGCGGCGAGCGCGGTCTGGCCAGGATTGCAGAGGATTCCGACCGTCAGCGACCTGGAGCGGAGGTCCGACCCCCGCAGCCGCTTGGAGCTACAGCCAGAGTGCGCCGATCCGATGGCGGTGGCCTCGCCTGGAAGCTGCAGAACGACGGCGTCACGACCATGCAAGCACAGTCGCCGGCCAGGATGGTCGTCGTCAGCTCCGAGGCGGCGCCTGGCGCGAGGTCGATGTATGCATCGCCCCCACCAGTGCCGCAGCAGCACCGGCCACAGGACGCCTACCGCGCGCCGAGGGACCTCGAACGCGCTCGAGACGAGCGGACCGCTCCGAGACTCGCCTACCCTCGAGCGCGCCCAGCCCGTCGGGATGCCGCCGAACTGTCGGACGCCTCGAGCGACGGCGGTCGGCCAAAGATGCGCCCGACCTCGGACCGGGAGCGGGCCCGCAGGGACGGGGAGCTACCGGAGCGGGATGCGGCCGGCAGCCAGGCAGCCCGACGCCGTCGTCCAGAAGCCCATTCTCGCTCCCTGCAGAACCCCTCGACGGGGCTGCGAGGCCCGACTGTGCCCAGCAGCGCTCGCAACCAGCTGCGGTCCCAGCCTGCGGCCTTCTTTGGCATGGTCGGTGCCTAAGCTTTTCCGCGCCAGCCGTCGCCCGCCTCCTCTCCATCCTCGCAGTAAGCCAGCCGCCAGTACGACCAGACACGCCGGCGTGTCCCTCTCAGTGTCTCTTCATCGGATCCAGCCCCGGCCCCACGCTTTTCGCCTCTCGCCCCTGTACTCATGCCCTTGCCAGCATCGCGCCGCCGTGTCACCCGCCCTGTTTGTTCGCTGCCTGTAGCTCTATTCGTCCCCTCTCGTGCTCTCTCCGCCCTCGCAGGATCTCAATGTCACCCTTCTCGTCCCGTATTCCTTCCTGCCTGCGGAAGCGACGGCGCCTCGTACGACGCAGCTCTGCCTGGGCCTGTCGAGAAGCGCCGCCTCTGTCGAGCTTGACAGCGTTGGTGCGACCGTGCCACGGCGCCACGGTGCCTGCAGAAGAAGCTAAGCAGGCTAGCTCGACATGGGGCGGATCGGGCCGCCCCGAGACGGAGCGGAGACCCCACCTTGCCGGGCGGCTTGGCTGGGAGGACAGCTGCGCGTCGCGAAGTCCACGCGGAAATTTCGTCGGGGCCTGTGCCTGCGCCTGTGCCAGCGCGCGCTGGATTGGTAGGAGGCCAGGCAGCCAGGCAGGCCGCCTGAGCCTGGCCTGCGGTCTCAACGCGACGGGGGCGGGCGTGCGGGTAGAGAGTCGCTCCACCTGGGCTCGCCGCCTTCCGCATCCGCAGTCCATCCGCCCCCCGCTCCACCATCACCCGCCATCCATCATCGGTCATCCGCCATACGACATCGGCCACCGGTCCTACGTTCTACCCTCCCTCTCCTATCACCGCTACCATCCGCACATCATTCTTCACCAGTGCATCGCACCGGGAAGACCGCGTGCCACCACCCTTTTAAGAGCAAGGCAGCACCAGCAGCAGCGCCTTGCCACCGCCGTGGTCTCGTCTCGTCTTTCCGCTGCTAGAGCCACCGCCTCTCCGACCTAGCCTGACCCCATCTACGGCCGTACGACGCCGCCATGTTCTATAGCGAGGTGATCCTCGCCAAAAAGGGCCCGCTGGCCCGCGTCTGGCTGGCGGCCCACATGGAGAGAAAGCTCAGCAAGACCCAGTTCCTCCAGACCAGCATCGAAAAGAGCGTCAGTGAGTATTCGGGCCAGCGGCAAACCCTTTGGGGCCGCCGCACGCCAGCCAACCCAACGTTCGTCACCGCCGTGCAGGCTATCGTCGAGGACGTGTAGCTGATCCTTTGCCGACCCGGCCCGATCTCTGCCGCCACCTCTGCCAGGCGCCATCATGGGCCAGGAAGTGGTGCCCATGGCCCTGCGCTTGTCCGGACAGCTCCTCCTCGGCGTCGTCCGCATCTACTCGAGGAAGGCCAAGTACCTCCTCGAGGACTGCAACGAGGCGCTCCTCAAGATCAAGATGGCCTTCCGCTCCGGCGCAGTCGACATGACCAGCGACCAGCTCAACATCTCGCGCAACGCAATCACCCTCCAAGATACCCGCACCGACCTCGACATTCTCCTCCCCGACCCCGCGCTCGAAAACTGGAGCATCGATTTCAGCAGGACCGCCGCGAAAAAGGCAAAGTCGAGGTCCGGGACCGACGGCGGCAGCTCCCACGTCGCCCGCGCCGCCGACATCACTCTGCCCCACGTTGACTACACTACCTTCGACGACACCTTTGACATCTCGTCGGGTATCGACGGCATCGCATCGCAGGACTTTGACCCGGACGGCGGCCTCGATCTCGGCCTCGAAGACGACCTGCCCGAGGCGACCACGATGCGCCGCGATGAGCTCGGCCGGCTGGTCGACGAGAACGGCGACCCCATCGCCGGAGGCATCGAGGACGACTCGCTGAGCATCGGCGTGGGCCGAGACGCCCCCAGCGAGACGGGCCGGCAGAGCGTGGCATCGATGCTCAACCTCGGCAAGGACGGCGAACTCCAGCTCGGCAGCGAGCTCGGCGGCAGCGTGCGAGCCCCAAGCATCGGCCTGCCAGACTTCGACATGGGAGGCGATGGTCTCGACCTTGGCCTCGACGATGGCGGCCTCGACCTCGGTCTCGACGGTCCCGAGCCGATGGACGTCGATGCCCCGGCGCCGCCGCCAGACGCGGAGAGGCCCGTGACGCCGCCGCCAGGCGACAACAGCATGGCGCTCGCCATGGCCGACATGACGCCCACAACCGCCGCCAGGATCCGCGACGCGGCAGCCAAGAGGCAGCAGGACGAGGCGGCCTCGAAGCAGGCAAAGGCGCGCAAGCAGCTTATCGACGCGCGTACCGAGCTCCCGGAGAGCCAGCTCGGCGGGCGACCGGCGCTTGGCTCACTGAGCCAGGGCCTCAGCCAGGGAGCATCGCAGCTGGCCGGAGCGGATCTCGACATTCTCACAGAGGAGCGCTATCTGCCGCGCTCGCGGGCTTACCTGCGCCTGCTCACCATCCGCCAGGACCCGACGGCGCACTTCCTGCCGTACGCCGACCCGGCGAACAAGGACAAGAGCTCTTTCTTCATCGGCCCGGCCGGCCTGGCGCCCGAGCTGAGCGAACTCTTCACATTCGATCTCTCGGCCATGAGGCGGCGCAGGGCGGCGGCGGCGGCGGCGGCGGAGGACGAAGGGCCGTCGAAGCGGGCCAGGCTCGAGGGCGGCGAGGACGACGACAAGGCCGAGGTGGCGC